GGCTAGAAAGACAAGAAGCTTCAGAGGACCATCATAGATAACATGGGGGATACTGCATGTTATTAATTTTTACAGAGCTGTCAATCCTGTTTTATAATAGGAATATATTTTTAATCACTCCAACACTTTACTGTGAACATTTTCACATATAGGCCACATTTATTTATTTATCTACTTACTTTTTGAGAGAGGGTCTCGCTATGTAGTTCAGGCTGGCCTTGAGCTTACTCTGTAGCCCAGGCTGGTCTTGAACTCTCAACGATCCTCCTGCCTCAGCCTCCCAAGTGCTGGGATTACAGGCATGTGCCACCACACTGGCATAGGCCACATTGAAGGAAATTTACAGTTAACTGTCTGAATAACTACACTTAGGTCTATCATTAACCTTCTATTATATGATACTTGCTTTATCATCTCTCTACTCAATTCATCTTAGTTCCAGATACTTCATTTTCAAAATGTCTGTTTCAAAAAGTATTATCTAAATGCACTTCCTGAGACAAGGAGTCAGGGACTCCATTTTTTTCTTTCTTTTTCTGAAGTACTAGGGATTGAACCCAGGGTCTCAACTACATCCTGTCCCTTTTTTCTTTTTCTTTCTTTCTTTCCTGAACTACATCCTTTGTCCCCTTTTTCTTTCTTTTTCTCTTTCTTTTTCCTTTTTTTTCTTAAACTTTGAGACTGGGCTCAAATTTGTCAATCCTCCTGCCTCAGTCTCCAAAGTGCTGAGATTACAGGCATGTGCCACCATGCCTGGGTCTACCTCACATTTTTAAAAAGAGGAAATCTAAACATGTAACAGACCTAAGAAACAAATGTGACTCTTGGCATGCAATCTCTGGGTTCTTATAGGATAAACATCAGTCATGTAGTTTCTTATTGATGGTGATGAAAAATATATCCATTTTTATGACTTGTTACACTTAACTGTAAGGTATGGCAAGTAGCTAAGTGCAAGCTCTGCAGACAGACCCGTTTGAAACCTGGGTCTACTAATTACTAACTATGAGACCCTAAGCAAGTCATTTAATCCTTCTAGCTCAGTTTCCTTACTTAAAAAATAAGATACCAGTACCAAAATCAAAGAGTATGGGATTCAACTCCGATGAGGTAAAAAATGTTTCGCATGAAACTGCTATATAGAACAGGCACAACAAAAGTTAGCAATTGTTACAGCTCCTATCTTGATGTCCCCACAAAGCCTCATGTGTTAAAGGTGGGCCTTTGAGAGGTGGCTGGATCCACAGCAGTGATGGCGACCCTTTTAGAGCTTTCAATGATACTAGCAACTCACTGTGGCATGTGTGCCATAGGTTCACTGCCACGGATTTCAGGTGTGTGATACTGGCACTATGGGTGTGTGGTCCACTGACTGGGTTAGCATAGTACTTACTGAGTGCTGATAATGGGAAGGCCCACCCTGAGTGTGGGTGGCACTAACCAATAGGTTTGTAGCCTAGGTGGAATAAAAAGGAAACGGAGGCTCAGTTTGTTTCCTGCCTGCCCTGCCACAGACTGTTTGTCCTCTGCCATTCTGCTCTGCTTTGGAGCCAGTTGACTACGGACTGAAACCTCTATAAACTGTAAGTTGAAATAAACCTTTCTTCCTTTAACTTATGAGTATTGGGTATTTTTGTCTCAGCAATGAGAAAAGTATACAATAGTTATTATAACCCAATTATTAGTCAATGCAGTCTACCACAATAGGCTGTTGCTGCTCCATGATTATACATACTCTTGCAACTGTATCATGTTTTTCATGATCTTATCTGCTTTAAATATCCTGGGTAGTCTATGTTATTGAAATTAGACAGAATGAGGGTAAATAGGTATAAAGTGCATGCATTATCCATCATCCCATTCTATTCTCTGGAAGAAACATAATTGTTTTATTACTAAACGCAGTGATGGGGATCACAGAATATACTTTCGTTGTGTGGGCATAACTTTTGTTTTTTAGCACCTGGTTGACAGAAGTAAACATAAGGTCTAACTGTGCTCAGCCTACTTTAGACAACCATTACTTCCTCTTAAAACTATCTAAACACAGTATTTGAAACCACATAATACTGAATTTCTACCAATTTGGTCTAATGCAAACAAAATGTCATTTATTTATTTATTTATTGAGACAGGGTCTTGCTATGTAGCCCAGGATGGCCTTGAACTTGCAGTGATCCTCCTGCCTCAGCCTCCCAAGAGGCATGGCACGACTATGCCTAGCTGAAAATGTCCTATCTTGACCGCATGTCCAAAAATCTTTATATCTGCAGACAGCACATTTATACTGTCTTAAACTTCACTCAAAACCAGTAATATGAGTATTGTAATTTTACAATGATTTTGTGTATATTGTAGAAAGCAATAAACACATTTTATTTGTAGCATGATTTTCATTTGAGACAAAAGAGAAATACAGAATCAAAGAAGAAAAAGTCTGCTATGCTAAATATGAATTGGCTATATCACTAGAAATGCACAAACAAGGAAAAACAAATTTCTTAGTTCTGTTCTCTCAAAGGGCATAGAAACAATGATTCCCTGGTAGCAATGAATATGCCAAACATCCTGATCTTGGTTTCTATACATCACTTGTCATTAAAAGGAACCAAGACTCCTTGGATAAACAGCCTTTCAAGATGTGAAGCAAAGAAAAGAACAAAAGCAGCCCAGGATACCTTGTGTCAGAAAACACTTGAAAATTAATAGTGAGCACAGGTGTCAAAAGACACAGCAGTCAGCTAGGCAAGAGTTCCTACTACCAAATATAGGACAATTTGGTCATCCAGAAAAAGGACATAATTAGTTATAAAACAATGAGTAAATTAAAATTCACAAATCTATAGTGGTATTTTAATACCAAAAATAATGAAAAAACCTATTTGCTATCACTGGGGGTGACTATTTTCCCAGCTCTTTACTTTGAATACTTAAGTGATGAAGGGATAAAAACAGTTCATCTCCCAAATCCGGGAATCTCTTTCTTACAAAGAACCTCTAGTAAAATAGATGATTAAAGCAAAATCATCAATTGGTACTAAAAATTACTAAGCAGGTCAGGCATGGTGGTACATGCCTGTAATTCCAGCACTCAGGAGGCTGAGGCAGGAGGATCGCTGCAAGTTCAAGGCCAGCCTAAGCTACACAGTGAGTTTAAAGCCAATCTGACCTACAAAGTGAGACCCTGTCTCAAAAAGCAAAACAAAAAAATTACTAAACAAAATGTAGTTAGAAGCAGAGTATTTGCATCAAAGTACCACCCTATGTTCACATACTAATCACAAATTGGCAATCCATAGCATGGTCACATTAGCATCATTAACAGTATGGCAATCTGATTTTACCTGCACTATCTACTATATGATACAATATGAGGTATACAGCATCACCCATTAAGTATTCTTGCTAAAAAAAAGTTTTTCTTTAGGCAAATCAAGCTTTTCTTTAGACCAAACTTCCAGCTAACAGGAAATTCAGGGGGAAAAGAGGAAGTCAAAGGAAACTAGGATAGCATGGACAAGTCCAAAATATTCAGTTCTACAAGACAACTAGTTTGCTCAACTAGGTGTTAGAAAACTGCGGAGATGAATGGATACTATTCCTTTACATCAAAGGGACTAGACTCAATGACCAAATGGAATGGAATGCACAACCCTTGAAAGACACTTTTAGAACTGAGGAAATTGGAATAACGTTAATTTTGATAAGTAGTGTTCACACTGAGAAAGAAAGGAACAGTGTGCCAAAAATGTTAACCACTGAATGTAGGTATTGGGGCACTCAATGTGTTTTTTTATTCCAACTTCTGTAAGACTGTAATTTATCACGACAAAGTTAAAAAGAACTTATACCTCTACTGAAAGGTACAGCAGAAGTACACCTCCCCTAGAAATGCATCGAGATTCAAATCTCAACTCTCACTTACTTATCTGGCCTAGGACAAGTTACTTAATACTACTAAGTTTCTGTCTCATGTATAAAATTCAAGTAACAATAACCTCATCGTTAGGTTGTTCCGGGAACAACATAAGATTACATATGTAAAACGCCTAACAATGTTGCACAAAATGAGTAAATGTAGTTTTCATAATTAACAAATGTCATCCTAAAACACATTTTCACATTCCCTCATAAGAGAAACTAGACAAAATTAAATATTGTGAATCCACCGGAACTTAAAGTGAAATAATTGGGAAGATGAAGATTTATAGAATTGTTTTTCAAATCTAAGAATCTCAACTGAAAGGGTAGGCAAAAGGAAACTACCAAAACCTTGAGCTATCCAAACTCTTTGGTATTTATGATACTGTAGCCTATGTCTCAATAAAACAGAAAATAAGTGCAAGTTAAAGAGAACTTTTTCCTAACCTCAACAGATAATCTACCTATAAATAAAAGAGAAATTAAAATTTTGTCTTCATTTCTGTAAGGAGGTGTTCCAATGAAGTACACGGCCAATGGGCCCCACACTAAATTCTAGTTAAGGTTCAAACACAAGTCACATGCAATTTCCTTTCATCAGTTCTAGCTTTATTTCACTTGCAGGTAATCCCTGTTTCTGGTTAGGCCGGCAATAAAATGATTAGATGTAGAGTGACCCTCAGGTAGAAAAGCAGATGTATTTGCATTTCTTTTCTTTCTTTTTTAAAACAAGTGCCATCTTTTTCTTTCCTGTACCGGAGAGGCAGTAGCGGGGGAGGAAAAATAAAAAGGATCGGGCTCGCGGTCGGACCAGGTGAAGGGGGCAACACCCCGCCCGCCCTCGGGTGGTGGGCACCCGGCGCGCAGCCAGCGCCCCCGAGGACCCCGGATTGCGGCCCGAGGCCGGCGCTCCCCGCCCGGGATTAAACGCCACCAGAGGATCCCGCGGGTGCCTCCCGCGCGGGCGGGTGACAGACCAGGCTTCCCTCCCCCACCGCCGGGCGTGCGGGTCCCTGGCCGGCGGGCCGAGCGCTCGCTGGCAGCGGCCACCCCCGCCCTCCCGTCCCCGTCCCCGTTACCTGCGGGAGCCGGGCGCCGGGCCGGGAGGCCTGCTGCGGCTGCTCCTCCC